GAATGAAGGGAAGGGAGAGAAATGGGAGAGAGAGGAGGAGAAAGAAGAAAATAGATAAATAGAGAGAGATAGAAAGAGAGAAAGAGAGAGCAATAAAGAGAGAGAGAGAGAGAGAGAGAGAGAGAGAGACAGACAGACAGACAGAGAGAGGGAGCCTGAGAGGTGGGGGGGATGGGGGGGGGGGGTCTCAATAGAAGTAGACGTCAAAGACACGATAAACTAAAAATCAGAGACGGTAAGAAGCTGATTGCAGCTGGAAAACAGACTAGGTTAATATTTACCCTGTGGGGTTAGTAAATGTCATGGGGAGGGTAACCCCCAAGCCGTTGATGGATGGCTTGTATACGCCCGACCTCATTTCAGTCCAGACAGTCATCATCATTATTTCCATCTTTGCTGAAAGCCCTGAACTTCAGGCTTCCAGATTTTCGCATAACATTCAAGGTGCGCATGGTCATTTGGGGGCTACGGGGGGGGGGGGGGGGGGGGGGTGCAGGCCTACAAACAATGAAATATCAGTTTGTAAGTTTCTATATTGTATATTTCAGGTTGAAAAAATAATTATATTGTAAAACAGGGAATGTTTAATTTGGCCTGAGATATGACGTCATTCGTCCAGAATGAGAATGCAAATGAACTTTTTTTTTTTAAATTGAATGTCAGAAGTCCTGATTAACGAAAAGAAATTGAATTTATAAAAAGTCATCCATATCGTGCCACCTAGGGCCCCGATAAGCATGATAAAGGTTCTAAATTTTGCTTACCTTCCACAATAGTCTAGACTGTTGCTAATTTGGAGGTCTTTTGCCTCCTTGTTTTTGAAGGCTACTGTCCGTCCCCCTTTTATTAACATTCCATGTATAATTTCTTTCTATGTATTTCATGAATCTCCCGCTGTCCCTGATCTAGGACTTATGTATGGGCGGGGAGAGGTAAGTATTAATATATATATATATATAATATATATATATATATGTATATATATATATATATATAGGCCTATATAATGTATATATATATAAAATAAAAGGAGGGCTCTTTGCGCACCCCATCCTGATCCTTAACTGCTTTTTGCCTACCATTATTCTTGCATTCTCTCTCTCTCTCTTCTCTCTCTCTCTCTCTCTCTTCTCTCTCTCTCTCACACCCTCCTCCTCCTCCTCTTATCGCATTTATCCTCTTCTCTTAATTCCATACCATAACTAATGCGGAAGTTTGTCACATGTGCGCCAAATTAACCAAGAATTCCTATTGCGTTTCCGTTCGTATTCCAATCATTTTTTCCTCTCTCGAAGATTTGAAATTGTTGCTCGCTCCGTGAAACTGTAGTTTTCAGTAAGTAAACTTATTGAAGTTTGAATGTCAATCACTGTACACTACCTCGACCTCACTTCACCTTTAACAGCTTGATATTAATGATGAATATACACAATAATGATAATAATCGGTACGTTAATAGTAGGGGCAGTACACGGTGTCCCATGCCAAAAAAAAAATACAATGAATTTCATGAAATACAATATTTCTAACAGTTCCTGTGGAAGATGTCATAAATAAAAGGAAACGTACGACTATTTTGGATATTCATGTTTTCCAAGGAATTGTGATTCGTCATTTCAAAGTATGCTAAAAATGTCGGGTTACGTTACAATCGTGTTCTAGCTTAACATTAGGGTTATTGTTCGGTTCAAGGTTTAAGTTAGGTATCCGTAAAATTAAAAAGTAAATTTACAATAGGGAAAGTGTTATGCAAGCGAAACCTTGTTTATAAACGTATAGTATAGTCCCTTTCTATACAAGATCAACGGTTGAATATAGTTCTGTTAACAACTAGTTATCCTACAAGCTTAACAAATCCAGCATTAACTTGAAAGTTTAATTCTAAGGCATGAAATAAATATTAACAAGGAAAATAAATAGGAAGGTATAAGAAGAAATAAAACGTATAAGGGGAATGAACTTTTCAAAAGTCATTTTTGTCCCGAACACCTTACATGCCTAGCTATACATAGTAATAACTTGATGACTGCTCGGACTAATAAAGGAATATTCAATTATTAGAAGAAAAGTGCCATGATGCTATATTTCTGGGCATTATTCTGTCAATATTCATGATATCTATACATTTCATTCAAACATGTCAGCCTGCTGCTGCCTTTTTCTTTCTTGTATTGTGTGGAGGAACAAGAATGAATTTGTTGTTCGTTGCGTCTCATTCCATCTCACTGACTCTCAATTGAAATTCATTACTATGGTATTAGGAAAGTTGTATTGCGGTTAATTGGAAATCAGAGCCGATAAATAGAAACGATGAAAAGGTTCATAAATTGACAAATGTATCTTATTTTCTCCTCCACCTTCAAAGGACCTTGTTCGCATTTCATATTCAATTTTGGTCACTCGGCATCGGTTGCGACTTACTCTGTTATACATTGTACCGTTTACTAATCCCAGCATTCAAACTCTAGATTTTCTCTGCCTTATTGTGGACAAACCCATAGGCATATGTATGCTGCGAGAGAAAATAAAATGGAATATTGTATAACCAAGGAATCAGTGTAGAATGTTCACTCAAAATCCAAAAATAAGAATAGGAGTCTCCTTGCATATGAATGGGTGAGGGATACATGTAGTAACGTTACACTGCATGGTTGCATTGTTAAAGGATCTAAGCAGTTCAGTTCAGTTCATTTTGTTCAAAACCACACGAAGCATGATATCATCTGCTACATAAAAAAGAGACAGGTAATAGTACATCAATCAACATATTTTTATGATATGGTTCCACAGCCATTGCGATAATAAGTTGGAAAATAATGTGATGTCTTGCATGAATAACATTCGTATTAAATATACAGGGCATCCAGTATTCACTCTTAGTTGCAATATTGATGGAACGTCGATCAGTGGATTACCGTTTGACACTGAATAAATTGTAATTTTTATACAAATAATGTATACAACTAAGAAGTTTGTGGATAAAGATGGCTGCAGCATTTAACATTTATGCTGTTAACTTCACTGGCAGCATATTTCCAGCAGTGCCTATTACACGTCTCCTTTTGTTTCCGTCTAACAAAAATGAAACGTTTCAAAATTCATACATTTCAAGGTTATACGACCTCCCCACTAACAATTGTCATATAACTTGCCAAACACGAATGGGATTGTCTCGATTCAAAAGGGATGTTATTTCTTCCCAAACCTCAAAATATTGACATGGACTAGCTTTTAGTAGTGAAATATACGATGGTGTGAGGGCTCTATCAAATCAATCTCTGAAGTCCTCTAATGTCGCCTGGTAAAAGTTCAAGTTCTAAATACCTTGGTTTCTACACATCTCTGTGGTAATTGGTATGTTTTTTACCGGGCCTTGGTTTGTGCATACAAGTGGTTGAGCGGTGTTTGCACACGACAATTACAAATAGGTTACCATTCCTTGATATGTTTTGTTTCTTGTACGCAGAGGAAGCACAATACGTCTTACCTCGGTTGATATTTCGTACTGATCATTTCTTTATCTGGATTTCCCTACATTAGTTCAAAGGTGTATTTTAGTTCATGCGGTAAATAATTTGAACACATCTACTTTTTTTCATCATACAAATTGCCACTCTCACATACACGATTCGTGTAATCACATCGATATAAAATAAGCAGATTTCCTTCCGACTTTTTGGTTCTTGACTGGATGAAGAAGAAATGAAAATACCCTGGCATGACCGTATCGGCATTGACCCCTTCCCTGTAAAGCACAACAATAAAGTCTTGATTATAAAGTTAAAGAAACACTATGCGATTGAACAAATAGAACCAATGACCAAGGTTTGGCGGACAATAGAGGGAGAAGAAAGAAAACGCGACCCCCCCCCCGTTCTCTCAACCCCTTCCCCGAAACACTTTTTTTTTCTATATCCGTGTCTCCCCTACATGCAGGTCTGTATACATGACACGGTCTCTCTGAGCTGTGTGTTTTTGTCGAGTTATGCTAGTCTAAGACAGCAGTCAAAATACCGCTGATTGCCATTTCAATCTAAGCACCACCACCACTACTTTAACAGCCACCACCATCATCGCAACCACCACCATCACCACCAACAACAAAACAAAAACAGCAACAAATAGTTCATGAGAAAATGCCATAGCTTATTTTAATTTGAGACTTGTCAAATACTTGATGCGTATCAATTGGAATATAAGATATAACTATTATTTGAACGTTTTGTGTTATTAATAGTACAATGTACAGCGTATTAGAGTGAACTTGGAATATAAGATATAAATATCATTTAAATATATTGTCTTGTTGTCAATATGTAGTGTATAACATTTTTTTTAAATCGCTCCAGTCTTACTTGAAACGATATCAATCGTTAATGTAAAAATTCAACTGAAGCTATAAAAAAAGGCCTATATAGGCCTATAGTTTGATGATAAACTATAATAACTGAGTAATACAGTAGGTTTACGGTTACACCAGGGAGTTGGATCCTCACTTGACGAACCCTTAAACCTACTGTATAATATACCTACATCACCATGCAGCGTCTATTCTCATTATGGTAAATGCAACATCCAAAAAGAAATGACTTAGATATGTTTTGATGATGATTATAATTATTATAACTTATGAGGATAATAATAATGATGTTGATGACGATGATGATGATGATGGTGTTCATTCACATAAAGCATAAGTCACACGATGTAACGTTTTAACGTGCTTTAAATGTTCTTGGTAAATCATGGAACTTGATTAGTATGGGTGAAATAAATAACCTTCATGATATCACAATGTCTAAAAGATTAGACTAGTCCATGCTCTCTCTCGCTCTCTCTCTCTCTAATTTCAGCTCCTCATTGCACCGAAAGGAGGCGCTGAGCCGTGACGTCATATAACAATGCACTAATTGGGGGGACTGTCTCGATGTTTGATTGACAGGTAGCCAACAGCGCGCTAGTCAATGGGGACATAATGAAGTGACGAGCTTGTCACTGGAGCTAAGGGGTGTCACTCAGAAAGGGGGTGAGGATCCTATTCAAACCTTACAACAATCGCTTACTGAAGCCACAACTCCGACGAGAAGTCGCACCGTGCACACCGTTCTCTCTCTCTACCATCTACCTCTTGCACGGGCTATATCTATGTTTTTGCTTTCATTTCGGTCATCACTTGGGTTGGAGTTCGAGTGCACACATAAATCAACGACGTCAGAAATTCAATGCGTCAGCCTGACGAATGCAGCTCGCCTCCCATCATTCACATCGGGCTCCCTCGATTATCATTATCAGAACATTATTTTGCTGAGCTGAGTGAAGATCTAGCCCGAGTACACGGGGCACCAAGCTCGTTGATTCCTGGACAGGAGGACAAGGCCATTAGAGTGGTCTGTGGACTGATATTTTTATTTTCTCCCGCGTTATCTTTCGCTCAATGGACGTGAGAGTAGCCCTCGGATGACGCCAAATGGTTTCTAACAGTGCTCTTGAGAAGTGACAACTCGAGGAAATGAAAATCAGAAGTGTGATAAGGGAGACATTTTGAGTATACACATTTTACATAGCAGACGATAATATACCAACTGGAATGCGAATGCTCGAGAAGTACAATCGCCTCACCAGTTTTGTTTGACTCGCCTTGGTAGCCTATAATATTGAGAGGAGGATCAGAAATATAGGCACACTGTGGAGAAGTGACTATTTTCTTCTTTTGCCCACTCTTGTACGGCTGTGTGGATTTAGTGTAGACGTTTTGCTTGTGCCACACATCTCGACCCCAGCTTAGAAAACAAGTTTTTGAAAGGTATGTGTGTTAGAGCGGACTAGTGTTTGTATAGTAAAGAGGACCAATTGTGGTGGCTATGGTGAAAGTTCAGTTGGTTGAACTGGGACCCTAGTTGAGCTGAGACGAGTGGGCCGGGCTCAGGCGACTCTAAAGTAAACCTGTGATATACGGTAGCGGAGTACAAGGCTTGTTTGATCAGTGAGGAGTGAGTGTTTAACCAGAGCTGGGAGCTGGCCTGTTGCAACACAAAAGGACAGAAACACTCGGTAAACTCTCATTTTGAAAAGCGGAGGCATACCACTCAGGACTGGAAGGGTTCTTTTCTTCATCGATTGCATTGCAACTGTGTTAACAGCGATTGCCATCAGACCATAAACATGGCTGCCTTCAGTGGAACAATCCATCAGTTGCCCGTATTAACGATGATAATCTTCATTGCTACATTACTATCTTGTTTCAATAGTGCCCTGAGTTTTAGAGATGCTAAATGTGAAGCTATTACTGTACCGATGTGTCGTGATGTTGGCTATAACATGACCTACATGCCAAACCATTTCAATCATGATTCGCAAGAGGAAGCTGGACTTGAGGTGCATCAGTTCTATCCACTCGTAGAGATCCAATGCTCTCCGGATCTCAAGTTCTTCCTCTGCAGCATGTACACTCCTATCTGCTTGGCGGACTACCACAAGCCCCTGATGGCCTGCCGATCGGTCTGTGAGAGAGCGAAGGCGGGGTGTGCTCCGTTGATGCGACAGTACGGATTCGCTTGGCCAGACCGCATGCAATGTGAGAATCTTCCCGAATTTGGTGACCCCGATAATTTGTGCATGGATTCGAACCATACGAATGCAGGAACGAGTGCACCAACCAACCCACCAATGACACGACCCGGAGGTCGACGACCTCGCCCTCCAACCGAGAAAACGTGTGACTGCTCCTGCAATGCACCTCTCATCTCCGTCCCCGAAACTCACCCGTACTACAACCGTGTGTCGACCGGCGAGATTTCAAACTGTGCAACTCCATGTAAAAGTGCCTTTTTCTCTGAAGATGAACACACCTTTGCGACATTTTGGATCGGGTTGTGGTCCATATTGTGTTTTGTGTCGACGCTCATGACGGTCGCGACTTTTCTCATCGACATGGGACGATTTAAATACCCTGAGCGTCCAATCATCTTCCTGAGTGCATGCTACTTCATGGTCGCACTCGGATTCATCATCCGTCTCGTCGTCGGTCACGAGCAGGTAGCATGTTCAGGTCAATATGTTCGTGTAGGATCGACGGGTCCAGCCCTCTGTACTATCGTTTTTCTGCTCATCTATTTCTTCAGTATGGCAAGCTCTATCTGGTGGGTTATCCTCGCGTTTACCTGGTTTCTCGCTGCTGGGATGAAGTGGGGCAGTGAAGCCATCTCAAGCTACTCTCAATACTTCCATCTCGCTGCCTGGCTTCTTCCCAGTATCCAATCCATCGCTGTACTCGCCCTTAGCTCAGTCGATGGCGACCCCATAGCTGGTATCTGTTACGTAGGCAACCACGACCTCACCAAACTCCGTGGTTTCGTACTTGCTCCTCTCTTCATGTACCTCATCATCGGCTGTTCCTTCCTCCTCGCTGGGTTCGTCTCTCTCTTCCGCATCCGGAATGTCATCAAACAGGGAGGATGTAAGACGGACAAGCTCGAAAAACTCATGATCCGAATCGGCATCTTTTCCGTCCTCTACACCGTGCCTGCAACCATCGTAGTCGCTATCTATATCTATGAGCAGCATTCGAGGAGCGACTGGGAACGAGGTGTCACTTGCCCGTGCCTGTCAGAACATTTACCGAAACCAGAATACTCAGTATTTATGCTCAAATATTTTATGTGCCTTGTCGTTGGGATCACATCGGGTGTGTGGATATGGACTGGCAAGACACTCAGCTCATGGCGCGGTTTTGTCAACAGATTACTCGGGAGAAAATCATATCCAAAGAGAGAAAGAACTTTCAATTGCAAACCAGTGATGCTTAAAAGTTTACCAAATGTTCAGGTGTGATAAAATAGAATTATCTCTATTCATACAACAAAAGGAAACAAGACTCCTTGTCAGCGTGTTAAGACAAAATGCTGTATTATTTGGCTTGTTATCGCTTGATGAAACGTATAAGATAACTTGTTATGCTGTTCAGATTATATATCATCTTCCACTTGCGATACGAACCATATTTGTTGCTTATGTGATGCACATGTAGAACAAAATGATGTCATAATATATTAACATGGTTGTACAAACTGAACCATATTTGGAAGAGCAGAGGAGGAAAGGGATACGAATTGTAAATTGTTAGAGGCATGTTGTGCGTCACATTGAACAAGAATACTGATATTGCCTTTCTAGTTTTTTTCAGAAGTTTTGTACAATGAGGATTTGTATTCAATGTTTCCACAGTGAAGAAATTAACCACTTGCTCAATTCTGCATTCATATGCGTTTATCATAGTTTGCAAATTAACGATATCTTTGTTATAGTTCCAAAGAACGGAGAAAAAATGGGAAAACATAGATTGCATTTTGACACCTTGATTTTGTTTGGTAATTTAACCATTTTCGTATTGCATATCGTATCCCAAAAACCCCGCGGGAACTGTTGGCATTCGCATTTTTCATCAGAACATCTATTCACAGGGTTGATCCTAGGGAGAATAGAGGAAAACAAGAATCAAATTCCAATGCTTTATATAGGTTAACCCACGTGATAAGGCCGTCGATGCCAGGATATTTTTCATGTTATGAGGATAAAGAAAGATTGATCTGTTATTATCTTGCCACTGTTTGTGTTGTATTACATCTCTCCAGGTCCTTTTAACTTAATGGGAAGTTCACATATGTTTGTAAATGTCGTGAAGATTAATTTGTGTCCACTCCACTGTACCTGTGATCATTGAGATTTAATGATGTGAGTTTGTTAATTTATCAGTTATTTGTCGATCACCTCTTTGTTTGCAACGATCGTTGTTGTCGTGCACTCAAACTGCACATGGACGCCTTACTAATTTAAAGAAACTTCAGCGTCTTCAAATGATATCAAACTGCAGTTATTTCAAATGTCATCAATTTATGTTCTCTAGATGTATGTTGTACCGAGATCAAAGGCATATTATTGAGTATTCTGTCCAAACCAAACCAAATGACGTATGATTGTCACTCGTTCATTGATTTGATATAAATTAGTTAGATCATCTGAGGATCTGTTGCTACTCGAGTTTAAGGAAATTCAAATCATTCAGTGAAGGCATCCTATTAGTTTTGTTTAGTTATGTTGGTGTGCCCGGCCACTAATACCATTCATAATGCATATTACAAGTAATCGCTACAAATGTCGTAGTCGATGGAACATATTTTCATTTAAATATTTATTTATCAATTCATATGCAGAAACCACTTAATGATGTCTTAATCTGTTTCATAAGGCCAAATCCTAGGCTAAAGTGTACAGACAGGCCTTATTATAGTTGTTTGTTACATCATCACATTTGCTTCAATATTATAATGTTGATGATTTTCACATTGAAGAATTTGCAAGACGGATATTAACTGATAGTTCTATCAGAATCAATAACTGAACCTCTTTCGTCACTATAATGAAAAAGTCGGTTGCATTAGCTCGACCTGTGGGCCACCGTTGACTGGCTATTCCCTTTTCTTCATTTTTGTTTGATTTGTAGCCCTATGCTAACACAAAAGTAGAATACCAGTACCGAGTGCTCTTTTACCAATAACCTTCACCAGCGGCCATGCCTCGCTTGAGAGTTTTCCTCTTTTCTCTTTTCTCTCACATAAGTAGAAACCAAACATGCTACTTAGCGAGCTACATGTCCTGCATCTGAGCACTTAAACAGCCGATACAGATCAAATAAATGTTACATCACGGAGTCAACATTAAAACCTGAGACACAAACACCAGTCCCTTTCTTCCTAAATGCCACCATTTGTTTGCTACCATCACTTTTCATTGTTTGAGATGCTCTAAGTTAATCTCGGCTGCCGATAAATGGCTTTCTCTCTTTTCTTTCATCTCATGTTTTCTCCCCTAACCGGACAGAGAAATTGAGAGGAAATAAGTAACGATATTGGTCCGCCCTTGTAACGGGGTTGTGTTAATTTGTTATTATTACGAGTAACTTCATCGACTTCTAATGTAAATGCAAATAAGTCACATTTTGCCTTAATTGTGGATGGAATATACAAGATGTTTGGTTTATATGTACAGTACTTGTAATGAAGATTGCTCTTGATATCCAGCACCAAAGTTTTGTGATTTCAATACCTTGTTAACTTATTATTCACTCAGTTCCGATTATTAATTCATACCAGCGACATCTAATGCAACACGAAGAGGAGTACTTATTGTCACGATTGTATTGTAGTGGAGGATTTGTACTGATATATGAATCGTCGGCTTGTGAATCAACGTAGGACTTCAATTTAAATACGATGATTATTTTATTAACATCATGTACCCAGTACATACATGTACATGTATACTTCAATATACCCGCAACGTTTTAAAGATAGCAAACTAATACGAAGGTTCTGTTGGATTGCGTTACTCATAACCATGTCTAATAATCTTTATATAGTACAAAGATGTGTTGTATTCGTATTTTCCATTACGATTATTTTATGACATTAATGTTGATGACATTGTATATTTGTTTTCACGAAACAACGTATTAAATCATGAAGCAGATGCATATTGCACAAATGAATTATTATTGTAATGCGTTTTTTTTGTATCTTCCGATATCGTCCTATTCTTTTCACAGGTATCATGACTTAAATGTTAAATATTTTTGAAACTTTGAAATTCTGAAACTAGTCCATCGTGGGAATTTGGTCATTTGCGGCTCGGAAAAAAAAGATCCCTGCTGTCTTGACATAATGATTGGGAACAATTTATTATTTTCATGAAGATAATAATGACAATATTTAATTGGTGATTATTAGAATGATGATGATGCTGATTATGAGTTATGGTGAAAATGATGGTGGAAATTGTTTGAGAAAATTAATGCTCATGCTATCCTAACCGATCGCGAATATAGTGTTGGTGATGATGGCGACAGTGATGGCGATGATGATGGCAATTGTGATTATAGAGATGGTGATTTTGATGACGGCGGTAGTAATGACGATCAAATGATTATGTCGAATGTGAAGAGGATAGTGATTACTGTGAGTGGTAGTGGGGGTGGTGATGGTGACGATGATGGTTATCATGATGATGATGATGATGAGATGATTATAATTTATAACCATGATGAAGCTGGTATAATAATAAAGATGAATTGTGGTGGTGGTAGTGGGGGTGGTGATGGTGACGATGATGGTTATCATGATGATGATGATGATGAGATGATTATAATTTATAACCATGATGAAGCTGGTATAATAATAAAGATGAATTGTGGTGGTCAGGGGCGTACGCAGGGGGGGGGGGGTTGGGGGTTCAAACCCCCCCCCCCTTTGGTATTTTTATGTGTGTAAACCCCCCTAAAAAAACCTAAACCCCCCCCCCCCTTTGGATTTTTTTTTTTTTTTTTAATTATAAAAAAAAAAAAAAAAAAAAAAAAAAAAAATGCCCACGGCTAACCTAAAAAAGGTGACCTTACCCCCCCCCCCCCCAACGAAGAAAAATGTCAAATTTTCAAATTTCGAGACAAAAAAAAAAAAAAAGTGTCCAAAAAACTATGATGCCCGTCACCTACACAAAACTATTCGAAGACAGGGCGGAAACACAGTATATATTATACAACTCAGAATTAGAAGTTGAAGCCTTATCTTTATTACTTTTGTTTTTAATTCGGGTGACAATTCCATGCCTAAGACCTACTGGGAGCATGCAAGCCAATCTAAAAAGAAAAATGAGGGTTTGATTTATGTTCATCTCTTGATTCTCTTCATTGTGTGAACATTATGCAGTAATAGACGGCACCGTACATTTTTGTTCTTGTAAATTCGTTATAAGCAAGAATACTGTAAACATGACATGTTATAGGCATAGGTGGGGAATTATGTCATCAATGGTGAAGACACTGGGTGAAGACACTACCCCTCCGAGTAGCTCATGATGCTTAAAAAAGATCTGTCACTTTGATGGTTTGATCAAACTCAGATCCCTTCTCATCGTGCTCATGCCTCTAAAAACAGAATAGAAGTTTGCATGAATGCGCAATTAGGGTGTCCCGTTTTAGCCCTTTTGATACAAAGTGTGAGGCAGATGATAAAGACCCTCCACTCCTCCTCCATTGTTCCTAAGATAATGGTTCGGGGAAGGGAGGGGGTCTCTTCCTCTTCACTCAAGAGCTCTGTTTTCATTCCTCTTGGCCCCAGTTAGAGGACGACTAACAAAGGGTTCGATCTTACAGGTAAGTACTGGGTAATAATCCATTTGAGTAAGGATTTTCGTTCAGGGTTTTTAGGGTAACAGTTGCTGGAGGTATGCATATTTACACACACTTGAAAACAAATTGTGTCTTACGATCCCAAACTCAAATTGAAAGGGTACCCAAGTAGTTACATGTAGTCATCTATGGTAGTTTGGGGCTTTGGAAATGAAAGGAAACGAAATTCTAAAAACAATCCAGCAAATTTGCACTGAAAATGAAGAATAATGAAAGATATCTGCCATACGGTTTGATAATATGACAAGTACTATAATGATTAAAACCAAATTCACAGTATACCGATCGGTTAGACGAGTAGCCAAGATGTACAGGGGTGTCAATATGCGGTTTATAATGGGGAAGAGGAAAAAGACAAACAATTTCATTCTACATTTCACAATTTGCCAACAAATATTTTCACTGGAAGGGGGGGGGGGGTCAAAATGGCCTAACTACAGGCATATGGGTTCAAGAAAATTGACCACATCTTACCCCTCGACCATTTATACGACAAGTTATTTCCTGTTAGCCGAGGATGTTAAACCCTAGTCGATATTATTGAAAGATCTCCTTCTCCACACGTTGGGGACATAACGTCTGCGTCCTTAGTCCCACATATTGAGGTTCTCTTTCATAAACCCAAATCAGGCGTACCAGCATTGTCTCTCCTAAATCTTTCCCTTTTGTTCCCGTCTCCGCCCCTATCAGCCCCCATTCTTTTCTTTTCTATTGACACATCTTCTTTCATACCCCCGCACCATAGGGTGCTATTCTTCACTCGCTTCTGATCAACCCATTCATATCATGCCCGTTGACGATCTATTCTTTGAATCTAGACTTCGCATGTCTTAATGATGGGGCAAGGCTGTTATCTTGGTTGATAGTGCGTTTTGTTACTATCTTGTCCACTTTAGGCATGTGCTAATGAGCGAATCACTTGGTGACTACATGCAACCAATATAATAGCTCCATATGCCATTCGATGTCATGGCCCGTCATAAAATAGACACAATGAAATATATCAAAGGTAGATCCCCTAATAACACATTAAAAGCTATTATTCAAATAAAAATTGTCCAATGTCAGAACACCAATTACCCTGGCTGTTTATATTTACCTCTGTGTTACTCACTGTCAAGAAATTGTAAAACAAAATAAAACATTAAGATAACCTATGAGTACTGTGACAATTCAAAATAATCAGCATGAATCCAATTATCTATAATAAAGATTTGTCTTTATTATTATTGTTTTGTGCGTTCTTAAATTGACGAATAATGTATATTAATGTAGAGGTTGCTCATAACCGTTGATGACTTGATGTCTTTAAAAAAAATGCGTTTCTTGTAATTTATTTTGTGCTTTGTATATGTTGTATTTTGTTTTTGTACACCCTGCCAATGACACATTTGTAATTTGTACTACATTGTGTCAGGGACCTGTCTTTTCAATGTTCACTCCTTTGTTCGTGTCGTGCTTGACTACTTATTTTGAATAAAGATAATGACACATACATTTCAATGACAAACCTGCCCAACGAAAATAAGTTTTTCCCGGATCCAGATGCTATCGTTTATCTGTTCATATCGTGTTTTTTTCTAGTGATATATAGTTGAAAAGAGATGGGGGGGGGGGGGGGGGTCTTCATGGAGGGGGGGATTATATGTCCCCAGTAAATGTTCATAATAATTTTTGAACATTTTCCCAGTCGGCCTGTTTAGCTATTTCTTCACCTCACCCCTTACGACCCATTACTGCTGGTTTTGTGATTTCCTCTTCCTATTTTTGGAATATCTTGGAGAAGAATGAATAAGACAAGCAATGTCATGGCATCGACAAAGTTGTGAGACTATTAAAGTCTAAGATTATATCCGCAGCACATGATATCTTCCGAGGAAACACCCATTATTCTCGACCTTCTTCGAATTACTTTAGATTTACATCTCTTTCTATCTTTACTCCTCCCTTTTCAAGCAAACTTTTTCTTCTTCCGAAGACAATGCCAGGTGATGAAGGAAGAGGGAGGGATGTTAACGGATGGCGTTAAGTTTAACAACAGCTATTAATATCATTAGTGGTCTCCCACAGCGTCTAGGTCGGGTCATGCTGCAATGGAAACTCAATCATATCTAGGTTCGATGGCCTCCAAACCCTACAAAATTGATTTATCAGGACTCCAAATCCCACAAATATGACAAACCAGCAAAAATATGATATTTTTAACTTTCATTATTTTAACATTAAGTTTTATTTTCCTATACCAAAGTGAAAGCCGTTGACTGCTATCTTTGTTACCACAAAATTAATACCATCAGGCATCAGAGGAGTTCTGTGGCTGAAGGCTTTCCCACAAAATGGATAAACCAGGAACACAATGAGTGATGAACATCCTCAACCAGAATTATCCGAACAATCAAGAACAAATAGTTTTCTCACAATGAGTCAAAAAGATGCATATTTAAGGATATATAAACGGCATTGAATATTTGTATAGATTTTTTGAGGGGATAAGACTTCTTGAGGGGCTATTTACTTGTATAACTTCTACTAGAATACAGCTTAGTGGACGAAGGGCCCCTTCCTTTTTAGTTTCCAAATGAATGATTTCTCCTATGTTTTGTTAACTATCAGTATGCTCTAGAAATAGGCTATGTCATTATGTTTGTATACATTATTACTAGAGTATTTGTTTGAATACATATGAACAAGAAAGAAAGTTAATGTTACTTTACTTTGAATTGAAATGAATTGAAGTAAATATAAAAGGTATCAATATATTTTCATTAGCTTTATAAATAATTTATTGGCAATAATTAACATAGAAGTTACTGCATGAATTGTACATGTATATCATTGGCGTATTGTAAATCACACCGGCGTATCCAGTGGGGCGCTGGGGGGGGGGGGGGGGGGGGCAACCAGGGGCAATCGTATTCAGAAAGATTAAGGGGGCTTTCTGAAAGACTACAAGAGGCGGAAAGAAAAAATAATAATCAGGAGGTTTTCGGTAAGGCCAGTAATGTTCTCATGGATTCTAAAAATGATCATTGATAAGAGAAAGTATTAAAAAATACAATATCATAATAATAATGGATCGGCAGCAATGCAGGTTCTTGTTACCTATTTGCAATACCTCTCTATTTGATGGCAAAACTATATGACTACGTCAAATTTATTGAGTTTAAACGCGTCTTGAATGTCAATGAAACACGACACCAACATCGATCAGGCAACTGTTGGCCCTGTAAATTTTGAAGATCGTGAAATTTAATTTGACGGCGATATTGACCAGTCGGGCATACTGAAAAGAATGGGATGATCAA